CGGCCTCCTCGCAAGATAAGGCCTTGAACGACCTCAAGCGCTTGGTCCAGCTCAAGTCCTGCCAAGCCTTCGCCACCCGCTTCGTCCAGCTCGCCGCCCGCGTCCAGACTGATGAACCCACCAAGATGCACTTCTTCAAGGAGGGTTTGAAGTCTGAGGTCAAGTTCCACCTCATCGGTCTCCGCCCCGCTCCCGCTTCCCTGCCTGAGTTGATCAAGGCAGCGGTCGAGTACGACGATGCCCTCCATCGTCTCAAGGTCTCCTCCCGTTCCCAACCTCCTCCTCCTTCTTCTCGCTCTGCTCCCCATCACCACCATTCTCCCGCGCATGTTTCTTCTTCCTCCTCTTCTGCACCCACTCCCATGGACCTTGACTCTGTCTCGGTCCGCCCTGCTAAGCTCTCCGACGTCGAGAAAAAGCGACGTCGTGAGCAGGGTCTCTGCCTGTACTGCGGGGAAAAGTCTTGTCCCGGCAGTCGCGATGTTCAGCAGTGCCCGGTTCTGGTCAAACGGAACTCGGGAAATGCTCACAGCCGAGCAGCACCTCGCAAGTAAGCGAGGTGGTCTGTTCGGCGATACGAACATCTTCCCCCTCTGACTCGTCACTATCGGACGATAAGCTTCTTCTTCCGGCCACTCTTATCGTCATGAGTCTTTCTGGCCCGGTCTCCATCTCCCTTTCTGTTTTTATTGATGATGGATGTTCCGCTCTTGCCCTCATTGATCCTGCCTTTGCCGATCTCCATAAACTCTCTCTTATCCCTCTTTCTACTCCTTACTCCGTTTCCCTTGCTGATGGTTCTTCGGCCGGTTTCATTCGTTTCCAAACCGCGCCTTTGACTCTGACCATTGGTTCCCACACCGAGTCGATTTCTTTTCTTGTGACTCGACTCTCCACCACTCCCATCACTCTTGGTCTTCCCTGGATGCGCTTGCATAATCCAGTTGTTAATTGGAAGTCCCTCTCCCTTTCATTCTCCGATCCCTCTTGCCTTGCTGATGGACACATCCTCGCGGATGTCTCTGCTTCTTCCTTGGACACTCCGTCCGCTTCCGGCTCCTCGCCTCCCCCTTCGGGCACTTCGCCTTTGACTCCTCCTCCCTCCGGTCCTTCCCTTACACCGGTTCCCTCCTTTGGCACTTCGCCTTCCCTTTCTTCCCGCCTTGACTCTGCTTCGCTTTCTGAAGAGCCAACGGCTTTATCTTCACCCGACATTGAGCTCGTTAATGCGGCGAGTCTTCTCCGTCTTGCACGGGAAGACAAGCTCGACATTTTCGCTGCCCAAATGGATATCCGTCCTCCTTCGCCGGAGACGTATCCTACGGTGTCGATAAGGTCCGTGCTCACGACGAAGGTGTATGCCGAGTCTGGCACCCCTGTTGACTCTCGAGGCGTCCCACTCAAATACAATGAGTTTGGCGACGTTTTCAGCCTCAAGTCTGACCCTCCTTCTTCCTTGCCTCCTCATCGTCCGTATGACTTGTCCATTGAGTTTGTACGGACCGAGGATGGAAAGGAACCTCGTTTGCCAAAGCCGGGGAAAGTCTATCCTTTGTCCCCGGCCGAGGAATCTGCTCTTTCGGAGTATCTGACCAACGCCCTCGCACGTGGTTGGATCTCCAAATCCTCTTCTCCCGTTGGTGCTCCCTGCTTCTTCGTGAAGAAGCCCAATGGTGGTCTTCGCCTTTGCGTCGACTACCGAGGCCTCAATGCCATCACGAAGAAGAACCGTTACCCACTTCCCCTCTTCCAGGATCTTCTGGATAAACTTTCTTCTGCCCGCGTCTTCTCACACCTCGACCTTCCTGATGCTTACCACTTGGTTCGTGTCAAGAAGGGCGATGAGTGGAAGACTGCTTTTGTTTGCAAATCTGGCTCATTTGAGTACAATGTTATCCCCTTTGGTCTTTCGAATGCCCCCGCTGCTTTTCAGTTTTTTATGAACGACATCTTCTCGGACCTCCTTGGTGTCTGTGTTGTCATTTATCTTGACGACATCCTGATCTTCTCAAAAGATCCCCAGGAGCATGAGGAGCATGTTAAGCTTGTTCTCTCTCGCCTTCGTGAACACTCCCTTAAGGTCAATCCGGCCAAGTGTTCTTTTGACCTTTCTGAAGTTGACTTTCTCGGCATGATCATTTCTGCCGATGGCATCAAAATGGACCCTGCCAAGGTCGAGGCCGTTTCCCTTTGGCCTGTTCCCTCTTCTGCTCGCGATATCCAAGTCTTTATTGGTTTCGCAAACTTTTACCGCCGCTTCGTCAAGGACTTTTCCGCACTTGCTCGTCCTTTGACTTCCCTCACTACCAAATCCTCCACCTTCTCTTGGTCTCCCGAGGCCCAAGAGGCTTTTGATTCTCTTAAACTTTCCTTCACTTCCGCACCTATTCTTCGATACTTTGATTTCTCTAAACCCGCTGTCATCGAGCCCGATGCTTCTGACTTTGCTTTGGGTGCCGTCCTTTCTCAGTTTGACCCTGACGGCGCTCTTCACCCCGTTGCTTTTCACTCTCGGCAATTCCGTCCCGCCGAGGTGAATTATGACACTCACGACAAAGAGCTCCTCGCCATTGTCGATTCCTTTACCGCCTGGCGTCATTACTTGATGGCTGCCGACCCTGATATTCCCACTCTTGTTTTCTCTGATCATCAGAACCTTACCCGGTTCACTGCCGCTTCTCAACTTTCTCGCCGCCAGTTCCGGTGGGCCCAATTCCTTTCTGACTTTGCTTTTCGCATTTACCACCGCCCTGGTCGTCTCAACACCAAAGCCGATGCTCTCAGTCGCCGTTCTGACTTTGAGATAAAGCCTGGTGACTCCCTCCACTCCACCAACTTCCTTCAGCTGTTCGAGTCTATTTCTCTCGACAGCATCACTGTTATCGGCTCGAATCCCGACTTTCTTTCCGAGATTCGAGCTGCCACCCTTTCTTGTTCCCTCCTTTCTGACTTTAACGCCAAACGTCTTGATGGCGATTACTCCTTCCGTGACGGTCTCCTTTACTTTAAAGACCTGATCGTTATCCCTTCCCCCGAGCTCCAGCTCAAAGTGTTTGAGCAACGTCACTGCTCCGCTGCCGCTGGTCACTTTGGTCTTGCCAAGACCGTTGAGCTCGTCTCCCGGGACTTTCACTGGCCCCGGCTTCGTAAGTCTGTGCGTCGCTTCATTGCTAATTGTGAAGCGTGCCAGCGAGCCAAGCCGTCCCGTCACTCCCCTTATGGTTTACTTCACCCTCTCCCCGTTCCTTCCGAACGTTGGTGGGACCTGTCGATGGACTTCATCACGGATCTCCCACCTTCGAACGGCTTTGACTCCATCTTCGTGGTTAAGGACCGCCTGTCCAAACAAGCACACTTTGTGCCCACCACGAAGACGGTTACAGGCGAGCAAACCGCCGAACTCTTCCTCTCCCACATCTTCCGCTTGCATGGTTGTCCCCGGTCTATTGTTTCGGACCGAGGAACTCAGTTTACTTCGGCCTTCTGGAGGCGCTTCAATGAGCTTCTGAAGACGAAGATTTCCCTTTCTTCTGCCTTCCACCCCGAGACCGACGGTTCGACCGAGGTTCTCAACCAGGTCATCGAGCAGTATTTGCGTATCCATTGCAATTACCTGCAAGACGACTGGACCCTTCACCTTCCCCTTGCCGAGTTCACTTACAACAACTCGGAAAACACCTCCACTGGCATGACTCCCTTCTTTGCAGTCCATGGCCATCACCCCATTTTCGATCCCTCTATCATTCGTGATCCCTCTGTTGTGCCCTCTGCCGAAGAACGTGTCGACCGACTTCAGACCGTTCTCGAGGATCTCAAGGCCAACCTCCGGGTTGCCCAAGAGTCCTACACTGTGCAGGCCAACAAATCCCGTCTCCCCACTCCCGACATCTCCGTTGGCGACCTCGTTTTTCTGGATCGTCGCCACATTCGCACCCTTCGTCCCTCCAACAAGCTTGACCAGAAAAAGCTTGGCCCCTTTAAAGTTCTTCGCCGCATCAACCCCGTTGCCTTTGAGCTTAAACTCCCTTCCACACTTAAAGTTCACCCCGTTTTCCATGTATCCCTCCTTGAACCCCGAACGAAGGACATTGTTCCCGAGTTCACCCAACCAGAACCACCTCCCATTCTTGTTAACTCCCAGGAAGAGTTTGAGGTCGAGACTGTTCTCGATTCTCGGCTCTTCCGTGGTCGCTTACAGTACTTGGTTCAGTGGAAGGGCTATTCCGAGACTGACCGGTCTTGGGAGCCCGCTGCCAATGTTTCCCACGCCACTGACCTTGTTGCTGACTTCCACCTTCGCTATCCCTCAAAGCCGAAGGCGACGCCCGGAGTTCGTCGCTAAGGAAGGGGATGATGTTAGGGATAGCTCCTGCTTGTTCTCCACTTTGACTGCCCACTTGGCTGTTCTTTTGCCTTTCTGTTTGTTTGTGTGTAGCCTTGCAGTTCCCCTCCAATTTTCCGCCCTTTGCCTGTCTTTTCCGCTCCTTCCGCACTTCCGTTTTCCCGCGCTGCTCCGCTTCCTTTGTCTTCTCCGCACGCGCCGGTTTGTTTGTGCACGCGCCTTGCTGCGATTGGTTGCAATTCGGCTGCCGGTCATGTGTCCCCCCACCGGTGACTCATGACCTGCCTGACCGCCCCAAACCTTCGCCTATCTCGCATGCATTTGCCCCAACCTTATACTTGACCAATCCGCTTCTTGGACGTTGAGTCACATTGCTTCGCCTTTGCACGTTTCTCCTGCCAGGTGCTTCGCTTTTGCTTGCGCCTCTCTCGCTTTGGTTCTCTGCCTGTCTCGGTGGTCCTTCTCGGCCCTCGTTCATGCATCGCCCCCTTCGCCCTGCTCAATCGCCCACTTTTCCCTCCCTTGGCCGCCCTTCGCTGCCAAGTCCGGACTTGTCTATAAATAGCCTGACCCCCGCGATGTGTAGTCGAACCTCAGCGTTCAAAATAGGACTAAATAAAGTGCCTTCTACTTTATTCTCTGAGTGTTCCTCACGTCTCATTTCGAGACTAGTCTTATCTTGAACGGATCTTTGCTTCCCTCGCTCCCTCTCCGAGTCCACTTCGGACTTTACCCTTGCCTTCCCTGAGCTCACTTCGAGCTCACTTCTTCTTTTGCCGTTGAGTCCCCTTCGGACTCTAACAGTCGCTCTCAATGCAGTGGCCATCTCCAACTCATCTGGTGGGGGTAGCCAGGTCAAGACGGGCAAGGGTGCACCGATGAAGATGCTCTTTGGATCACAGAACCTGATGATCACCGCCAATCTGGGTTTCGCACAGTGGGACACCAGCACTCCATCCACCGACGGTCAATTGAATGCAAACACTTATAGCATCGTGAATGTGATCCCACTGCCGAATGGTATGCAGGTGGTGACGGCGCAGCCCTTTGTGCTCCAGCGCGGTGATTATGTGGTTCTGAATGGTGTGTGGACACGCCCTCCACTCTACACTCTGCAGAACCCAAACGGCCAGTTCCAGGTGACAGAGGTCATTGACCGATACAACTTTACAGTGAGTGCCTACATCTCGTATTTTGACTCGGGGTTGACCTTCCAGGGGTTTCCCTATGTGGGTACGCAGTATCTGACGATGAGCAATGTGTCCCATGGATTTCAGCAGGGCATCCGCATCTACTCTGCCGGGGGGAATCTGGTATCCATCCAGACCATCATCGACCACTCGTTTACGGTGGGGCAGACCGTGTATATCTACAACAGCGATTGCGTGCCGTCTCTCGACACCAACACCGGCAATCATAATGGCTACGTCGTGGTTGCGGTGCCGGCAAACGACATTGTGACGATCGATATCAAGCAGCCACTGCAGCAGCCAGGCACGACATGCAGCTTTCAGTACAATACAAACTTTACACTCTATGACATCACGCCGTCGCTTGGGTTTGGATACTACGATCTCAACAACTCCAGCTTCGACGTGGCGCAGTTGATCGACCCGACCACGCTCTTGTTCCAGACCAACACCGGGTTCTCGGAATACAGCAGCACGACGACACTGGTGGCGAGCCAGTTCCGGATCTCGAGTATGACGCTGGGCTGGAAGACCACAGTGAGTAATATCCCGGATTCATATCCGCTATCGTTTATGGGAAATCCCGTTCCCGCGGCTTTCACCAAACCCCATGCGGCCATCCATCTGGCTGGCGAGTTTTACTGCTTCCTGTGCTCGCCGCAGATCGGGCAGATGCGCACCACCCGGAATATCAAGGATATCTTGGCCAAGATCCAGCTCACGGAGAACCCGGGTGTGGTGATCTTCAATTCGTTCGTGAGCACGCCCTTGATCCCAGACACACCCATTGCCCGCATCGACTATTTTGATTTCTACATGTATGCCCCGACGGGCTATTTATTGAACTTTAACGGCCTGGACTACTCCTTCACGATCAAGATCACGGAGACGATCGAGACGAGTGCCGAGCTCCCCCCACTCAATGCATGATTCAAAAGTGCCTGGGTATGTTGAAATTGACCAGCGCGATCTTGGAGGCCCGTTGCTCGGCCGTGATCTTTTTACCAGACTTTCCCATTCCAACAATGACTTGCTTGGAATGAGCATTGATCTTGAAGTCTCGCCGGATCTGCTGGTCGTAGGAGAGGACGTTTTGCGGGAGCTGGTCGCGGAACTGGGCGTCCACTAGGACCAGCCGCACAAACATCATGCAGTACTCGGACTCGACTTCGACGTATTTCGGATTGTGCCAGCGACGGGACTGGAAGAAGCGCTGCAGGATGTCCTTGTGGTTGTTGTTGTTCTGGATCAGGTATGAAAAGTCGACGAGGTTCTCGATGATGTTGATGATAAATCGCCGGGCATAGCGGAACCCCTCTTCCATTCCCCAGGTGGCGATGATGGCCCCGACAAAGGCCTCAAAGGCGTCTTCTTGGATGCGCGACGAGCTGTATCCGTTGGGCAGCTCGATGAAGCGAGCGAGCTGCAGATACCGCGCAAACTGGCACAGGGCCGAGGAGCACACGATGCGAGTGCGCATCTTGGTCAGGAAGCCCTCCTGCTCGTAAGGGAAGCGCTCAAAGAGATATGCACCGACAGTGGCGGTGAGGATGCCGTCGCCGAGGTACTCGAGGCGCTCGTTGTGCTGCAGAGCCGGTGTTGCTGCAGCTGAATCGCTGGACGACCGAGTGCGGCTGCTGCATCGGCTTTCGTCGGGTGTGGGTGAAGGGCAGCCGCTGTTGCTTCCGCCGACGGTGGGTTTCTTGAACACAAAGGCCTGCTGGAAATGCACCAGATCGGTTGGGCATTTGAGCGACATACCGCCGTCCCCGATCGGACCAAAGCGGTTCAGAATAGACTCGATTGCATGATGGGTGAGCAGATGTGACATGGCAATGGGTATCGAATAGAAAAAATGACAGGACAGAATGAGACCCCTCCCCGTGGACACAGCGAGTACTGCCGATACAATTCTATTTTTTTTTCTTGGCTATATAGTAGCCACGAACGCATCTAGAAACACGAAATGTCTGGAGGAGGATTGTTGCAACTTGTCGCCTTTGGTGCCCAGGACATGTACCTGACCGGCAACCCCCAGATCACTTTCTTCAATGCCGTCTACCGCCGCCACACCAACTTTGCCATGGAGTCCATGGAGCAGACCTTCTCGGGCACTGCTGATTTCGGCCGCAAGGTCTCGTGCCTGGTTGCCCGCAACGGCGATCTGATCCACAAGTCGTATCTGCAGGTCACCCTGCCCCAGCTCACCGGCAATGCCTCGCAGTCCGGCGGTGCATCGGGCCCGCAGACCGTCTGCTGGACCAACAACATTGGCCACGTCATGATCGACAACATGACCGTCGAGATTGGCGGTTCCATCATTGACCAGCACTACGGCCAGTGGCTCACGATCTACTCTGAGCTGACCATGCCCGAGGAGAAGGTCCACGGCTACAACGTCATGATCGGCAACACCGATGTTCTCACCACCAAGGCCACCACCATCCCTCAGACCGATATCTACGTCCCCCTGATCTTCTGGTTCAACCGCAACCCTGGCCTGGCCCTGCCTCTGATTGCCCTGACCTACCACGAGGTCAAGATCAACATCCAGTTCGTCCCCATCCGCAACCTGTACATCACCTCGGACAACACCCCTCTCCAGAACGAGCCCTCGATGGTCGACTCGACCCTGTACATTGACTACATCTTCCTGGACCAGGACGAGCGTCGCATGATGTCGCAGCAGAACCACGAGTATCTGATTGAGCAGCTGCAGTTCCAGGGCGCCGAGTCCTTCAACAACTCGGCCGTCCGCCAGAAGCTCAACTTTTCGCACCCGTGCAAGGAGCTGGTCTGGGTCATCCAGATGGACGACAATGTCCTCAACCAGGCCAACCGCTGGACCGACTTTACCACCTCGGGCACCAACTCCTCGCTGTACTGGCAGGGCGACGATCCGCTGGTCGATGCCAAGATCCAGCTCAACACCCACGACCGTATCACCACCCGCACTGCTCCCTACTGGAACCTGATCCAGCCCTACAACCACCACACCCGCATCCCCTCGACCGGCATCTACCTGTACTCGTTCGCGCTCAAGCCCGAAGAGCACCAGCCCTCTGGATCGATCAACATGTCGCGTATCGAGGGCACCACCCTGCAGATGACCCTCGCCACCGGCACCTCCTCTGTCCGCTCGTACGTCTATGCCGTTAACTATAACGTGCTGCGTGTTACTAGCGGACTTGGGGGATTGGCATATTCAAACTAGTTTAGGCTAAATGCTGCCTCTCCACGGTCCACTGCAGTTGAGGTTTGGACTTGTTGGAGCTGGAGGTGTGTGGTTTTCATGGAGTGGCATGGAGCGCGTTACGCGGGGAAGTAAGCCATCGATCCCGGTTGAGGCATAAACCAGGACGAGCCAAATGACACACAAACACAGAATGGTGTGCTCTCAGAACACACCATGGACAAGTCGTTTGGGTGATGAATACATCGTTTTACAGCCAATCCAATAAAAAACGGGACACCCGGGTTTTTGACCATTGATCGAATATTTTGTTACCCAATGTTATCGCGCACTGGCCATGACCATTCGCCACACATCCGACTTTCGCACCGCCGCATTGCGATGCTACGCCCTCATCCATAGCCTGCGTAAGGTCGCCTCCATATTCAGTGTATCCAAGAGCACCATCCATCGATGGCACCGAGGATGCAAGCTGGATGACCCATCCCGGGTCCCGGCTCGCAGATCCACTTTCTTCGAGCAGGCATGTCCAGTCATTCGCACCCTGATTGAACAGGACCCGTTCCAGACTGGTCCTGTGTTGCGATGCAAGCTCGAGTCCATCCTCCAGAGGAAAGTGTCGCTCTCACTCTGCCACACTGCCATCCACCGAGCAGGTCTCTCACACAAGAGGGCAACACACCTCTACAAGTCCAAGCGACTGGATGAGCGAGTGGCACAGTTCAGGGACCGGGTCCGCTCCATCGACCCGCGGCGATTTGTTTTTGTCGACGAGACAGGGATCAGGAGATCCATTTTCCCTCTCTACGGATACTCACCGAAGGGCGTCCCACTCCGTCAGCGCAATCACATGAAGCACAAGTCTGTCTCGGCTGCATTTGCCATCAACCACTCTGGTGTGCTGCATCGCATGTACATCCCCACATCATTCAAGACACACTCGATGGTCGAGTTCTTTGAGCGAGCGAGCTTCCCAGACGACTCTGTGGTTGTGATGGACAATGTCAGCATGCACAAGACAAGGGCTGTCCTGGACTGCATCGAGCACCGAGGATGGTCAGTGATCTTCACCCCACCTGCCTCGCCCGACTTCAATCCCATCGAGAACTTCTTTGGGATTGTGAAGCATCAGTACAGGAAGGCAGCAGCGCTGAATGCGTCTGAGGGGTTCAAGATCGGGATGGTGACCCTGTTCGAGTCCGCCGTGCGGAGGGTGCTTCCAGATGTCTTCCCACCGCTGATTGAGCGCGCGATGCGTTTCTGGGCGTGAATCATACCATCGAAAAAGTGCGTCAAAATCACCCTTGGTTTTTTCTTGCCTATAGGTAGAATCAACGGGGTGTCGAAATCGCGACAGATGGCTCCCCGCAAGAAAAAATCCCCGCCTGACCCAAATCCAGATCCTGGACAACCCAGTGACGCACCTGCTGACAAGAAACCCGTCATCAAATCATGTCGTGCCTGTGGATTGACCAACCATGTCAAGCCATTCACCAAGAAGTGCAAGGCCCGGACCGATTCGGCCCCCCCTTCTGACTCAGCGTCTGTCTTTGGGGCCGTTTGCCAAGCACCCCCTCCAGATGAACCCAGTGAAGACATCGCCGTTCCGGCCCTCGTGGTCGAGATGCCTGCACCAAAAGTCCCTGTATGTACCACATGTGGGGAAGAGGGTCATGCCAGAAGCAGCAGCTCGTTGTGTTCAAAAAAGAACCCCCTCTGGAGCTCTACCGAGCCCGACTGTGGTCCAAACGAGTATGCCAAGGCCGAGTACTCGATCATCAAGTGCACTCTTGACGCCATCATCAAGAACGGCGCCTTGCACGACAAGATTGAGGAGACTGTCCGGGCCATGACACACGTGCAGTACGAAGCATCTCGGCTCCTGGAGCTGCATCTCAGGCGATGCTTGGACGAGGGCATCACCATCCCCACTGTGTCGTCGAGTGACCCTTCGTTCGTTCGAAAGTGTTTCAACATGGTGCATACCGGAGCTACAGATGTCAAGAATGGCACGACCCAAGAAGACAAGCACCTCCTCGACACCTATGAGCTGTATCGAAGTACATGGAGTGGATCGTGTGCCCTACCTCCTGTAACCCTCCCAAAGGGCACTGGTTCACAGGTCCTCACATTGGCTGTCAAGACCTATGCAGTCAACTGCGAGACCCACATTCTCGATCGATATTGGTCCCTTCTACGCCGATTCTGCAATCTGGCCCTGATTGCTCCCAAGGATGTCAAGCGACATACACACGTCGATGAGTGTATGAAGCTGATGGAGAATCCCCTCTCCGATACACTCCTCGGTGATCTGAGGAAATCCTTCGCCCACCATGCCGACCAGCTCTACATCTTTCGCTACACAAGCCAACAGGACCTGTACAAAGTCGTACCAGTATTGGCCAGTGAAGTCTCTCGGCTGACCCACCGAAAGGAGACACTGTTCGTGGCGACCATTCGAAACAGAATCATCCCCAGGCTCGTGAGGGATACCGATGATCTGAAAGGAGAGTGTGGACGACTGAACGAGGAGATGTGTCGCGCGATCGAACGAAGGCAGTCGGATCAATACAACGCACTCCACAAACGGCACGAGGAGGTGGAGAAGCAGGTCACCGTCAACACGAAGCGAATCAAGCGATTGACCGACCGACTTGCTCAGACCAGGAAACGACACAACGTCCCTCGAGCACAGTGCACCTTGGTCCCGCTCTGCGATGCCAGAGCCAAGTATGTCAAGCTCGACACCAAAGCATTGTGGGAGTTCCTTGGTTCCCAGAAGGGTACTGGTTTCAAGTGGAACGACCTGAAGACCAAGGTCAATGGCACCACAAATCAAGAGATCTTCTGGCGAAGGACCTTCAAGCTGGAGTCGAGACTCTTTGGTGTCAGGAAAGAGGGGAAGCAGCTCTTTGGTTGCGAGATCAGCACCGATGGGGTCGGGTGCTCGATCACCACGCTCAGGTACAAGATCCTGAAGAAGGACCCCGATGTCAAGCCGGTACCCAAGACCAAGGTGAACACACTCACTCCCGAGCAGAAGATCCAGACCAGAGTCGGTCCCATTGACGACTCTCGGACCACATGGATCGGGATCGACCCTGGAGTGGGATCGATCTTCACCGCTGTCAATCGAGCACCCGGTCAACCATCCATCCAGGAGCAAGACGGTGTCAAGGTGACCAAGGCACAGCGCGCCAACGAGAAGATCGTGTCGTTCTCCAACAAGGAGTACCAGCATCGAACTGGCACCAGTCAGGCGACCAAGTGGATCCAGAGCACCCACAAGGCCCTTGATCTGCAGGAATGGATGAGCACCACACCAAGTCCCAAGATCCCTGGGTTGGCTTCCTTCCTGCGATACATTCGCCATGTGTTCGATGGAGACATGCTGGACAAACAGCTGTACTTCAGCCTGACCCGGCGACGGCGATTCAAGCGACTCGATCTCCACAGCAAGCGACAGCGCACTGTTCACGAGATGTGCAAGCGAGTCATCGACCAGGCACCAAAGGAGACCGACGTGTTGATTGCCTTTGGGAATGCATCCTGGAAGCAGGGGAAGGGATATGCATCCAGTCCCAGGAGACTCAGGTTTGCCAAGTACTTTGAGCAATTCCACCACCACCAGAGACGATCACCAGACCAATCCGTCTCCAAGATCCATGTGTGCTCGGTGAACGAGTTCAACACATCCCAGGTGTGCTCACATTGTCGGGAAGCCAAGCGACTCGAGTCACCCGAGTATCTTGATATCGAGAAACCACACTTTGTCCGGAGCTGTGCAAGCTGCCATACGCTGTGGGATCGAGACATCAATGCAGCCAGGAACATGATCTCGGTATGCCAGTCGATCATCGCCACAGGAGATCGACCGGGTGTATTCAAGACTGTGCTTCCGGACCCACCCAAAACAAAGTGATTGCCAACCAGGACGGGAAACAATCGCACGACCTGCCCACTGGGGTCTACGGATCAGCAGACCTGTGTCGCTGATGCCAGGAAGTGACTGTCCCGTTTCTTTCTGGTTTGACTGTATTGATACCAATTGTGGTGTGTACATGGAGTGGTGCTACATGCTGGGGTGACCCTCACTCTCAAGCAGAATCGGCGACATCCTGCACACCGGCCTTTTGGCGCTCGCGGTAGCGGCGCTGACGCTCTCTGTTCATGGCCCTCTTTCGCTCGACTTCCTCGAGCTCCTCGGGGGTGAGGATGCTGGTCGATTGCTCCCTCACTTCCTGCTCGTATTCGAGGCGGATAGCATTCCTCTCTTCGATAGGCATCTCGGATGAAGCAGAACCTGCTTGTTGCTTGCGCTGCTGCCTGGTGATCTCGCGAGTGGCCTTGTTGGTTCCGCGGGACTGATCGCTTCGGGCGAATTTGTCGAGGCATGAGATGCACGAGTTGGTCAATTTTTCTCCTTTGGTCCGATATTGATCGAGAGGTTTGACCACCTTGCAATTGGTGCACTTCTTGGAGACACTGGAATCATCGACTTTGGTATTGGCTGTGGCGATCTTGCGTCTCTCGTTCTTGAGTCTCTGTCTGGCACAGCAATCATCACAAAGACTATTATAGCTGCCATCGGCCTTGCGGCTGAAGTAGAGGTGCGCAGGGACATTGGTCTTGGCACGGCATTGGGAGCAGGATCTGAGGAGGGGCTGAGCGTCGGTCGAGATCATCGTGTCGGCTCAGATTAGGAGAGAGACGGTGGGCTCTACCCTCCTCTAGTGATTTTTCCTTTACTTCTTTTTGCGCAGGACCCGGGTCAGCCCCGATTCACCACGCTGTCTCCCGCTTGGCGATGGGGTTCGTCTGCTTGGGGGTCCTGTAAAAGCGGCGATCGATTCCCCGCTCCAGTCGGAGCTTGTTGACTGCGTTCAGCTGATCAAAGAACTCTTGCATGGTCAAGTCGCACTTCAAGTAGTTGCAGTCCCCGCAGCAGGTCAATACATTCCCGCGCACATATCCCTGCTCGTTGTCCTTCCTGTCGACGCCGTTGCGGTGTCCGTGACTGCTGGTCTTGCCGCAATACGCACACTTGCCCTGGCAGAGCGCCTTGAACTCGTGCTCCTGCAGCTCAAAGGTAAGACCCTTCTTCTCGGCCCGGGCCTTGTAGGCAGCAAAGGACACTCCCGAATACTTTTTCCAGGCATCGTCGCCAGCAAACTCGCCAGGACCACCATAGGTATACACGAGGTGGGCACAACGGCGGATAAAGGTGACGGGATCGAGGGCCATTTTCATATAGTTACACTTTACACAGCAGGAGACGGTGTTGCTCATGTCGTACGCCCCGTTGTTGTTCAGACGATCGATGCCATTGAGGATTCCATCGCCATCGAGGAATCCGCAATAGACGCAGGGAGATGTGCACATAACCAGAGCCTGGTCGTCAGTGAGATTCCAGGGAATGCGCTTGGTCTGGGCCTGACGCTTGCGCTCGCCAATGAAGGTGTTGAAGTGGGTGCGATGGTAGTGTCTGAGGTGGTCTCTGTTGTTGCGAGACCACTCGTTGTGGACATCTGCCAGGTGACGGCGGAATCCCTCTGGGTCTTCTGCCATTCGACGCTCCCTGTAGTCGATGTCGTATCGGTTCTCGCGGTTCAGTGCCAGTCGCTTCTCTCTGGTCTCTGGATTGGCCATTCGACGAGCATCGTGTCGGGCGCCCTTTTCGAGGCAGGTAATGCAGGAATCGGTGAGATTATCCGGCTTGGACAGATCCACTCGGAACTGAGCAAGTGGCTTGATGACCAGACAGCCACCGCACTTTTTCTCAATGGTAGGGTCCTCGACAACCTTCTCGAGGCACTTTTGGCGGTTTCTGACAAGCTTCACTCTGTTCTTCTCGGTGCAATCGTCGCAATAGTTATAATACGTTCCGTTGGGTTTGACGCTGAAGTAGAGGTGCGCGGGGACATTGGTCTTGGCCACGCATCGAGTGCAGGACCTGAGGACAGGCGCACCAATGGCATTGTCGGAGGCAGAGGCGGTAGCGTGCTGGTCGAGTTGGGTGTTCATCATCGCAGTTCGAGAGAGGATGCTTGGCTCTACCATGAGGCAAGAAAACAAGTCACCCAGATCCAGCGCATTTGGCAGAGACATGAGCACGCTCATGGCACCATACACGTGAACAGGGCCCAGTGGGCGAATGGTCATGACCAGCGCGCGATGGTATTGGGTAACAAAATATTCGATCAATGGTCAAAAAAAACCTGGGTGTCCCGTTTTTGTTAGTTTGCCTGTAACTTCCAGGCGTACACATAACACTGGAAAGAAAAGGAATTTGTTTGAACGTACAGAAATATCACAGACACACAGCGCCTGGAGGGACAGGGGGTTTGAGTGGTGAGATCATTGACTTGTCACTTTCAGCGAACCTTCCGCCTCTTGCTTTCGGATTGGTTGCTACTGCCGGATTCCGTCGGAGTTGTGGTGGTGAGCTTATCGCGGCTTGGTGGATATTTCATTGCAAGTCTTGACGCAAAAATTGTACGAGCCCGAGTGGAGTTTTGTTCAGTACCATGTCCGCGTTCATGGCACTGTCCGATCCAGAATTTCGCCTTGGCACTCGGTGTCATGAACACCCTCTGCCTTTGCCCTCTTCCTTCCTTTACCCTTGCCCTTTCCTTTCTGTTTGCCTGCCTTAGCGCTTTCCCTTCCTTCTGTTTGTTTGTTTCCCGCGCTGTGCTGCCTTGTTGTCTTCCCGCCAGCACGCGCGCTGTCTGTGTTCCGTTCCCGTTTCCTTGCTGTTGGTCATGGGTTACGCCCACAACGCCGCCTCGACGCCGCCTGACGCCTTGGCGCCGCCATGCCGCCGCCACTGACGCCCGCTGACTCACGGATCCCGAGTCACGGCCGCCACCTGCTTCGCTCGCTGCTTCGCCCTCCCCGCCGCTGCTTCGCTCCTGCCCCCTCGCTCTGCAGCGTCGATCCTTGGCGCTCGCATAAATAGCCCTCCGACCAGCCTCTGTCCTTTGCCTTCGTCTTGCCACTTTGTATTTTTAGTATCCTAAGCCTTGGATCTAGAATAAAACTTTGGCTTTACCCTTGACACTCTGTGTCCCAGTCCAGTCCCCGCTCCTCTCCCTACGTTCGAGTCTTGTATTAGGACTCTTGCGCACTTCCCTGCTTGCCCCGTTGTCCAGTCTTGACACTTGGCAAGACCTTCAACAACCCCCCACTTGCCCTGCCTTTGCCCCCGTTCCCTTCGCTATATCTTTTACCAATGGCTTCCCCTTCGGGCCTTTCCGAGCCCGAGCTCCAGGCCATCCGTGCGGTCATTATCCAGTCCGCCGAGAACGCCCGTTCTCTCCAGGACTTTTCCAAGTTCCTCCACGATCAGGATGATGCGCTCAACCGCATCACCGATCGTATGGACCAGGTCCTGGCTCGCCGTGAAGAGGATGTCCGCCAAGTTGTCGCCGCCAGTGTCCAGGAGGCCCTCCGCAGCTACCAGGCCCAGCTACCTCCTCCTGCTCCCGCTCCCGCTCCGATCCGTCGTGCAGGTCGCCCCTACTTCGGCGTTCCTGACGACGTCGATGATCCTGCCCAAGACCCCGAGGACAACCCTGCTGGTCGCAACTCTGCCACCAGGCAGATAGGTCCTCCCGACCGCTTCTCTGGTAAGGACCCGAGCCGCTGCAATGCCTTCCTCTCGCATTGCAGACTGGCCTTCGTGTCCAACCCTCCCCTCTTCCAGACTGAAAGGGATAAGGTGTTTTACGCCTTATCCTATCTCGATGGTACTGCTGCAGACTACATGCAGCCGTACATCGATCAGTTGGAGAGAGACCCCGAGTGCTCCCCCCCTGCCATCCGTGACTTTGCCGGTTTTTCCGAGTGGCTCCGTGCTGCCTTTGGCCAGGTTCAGCCCACCATCGCCGCTGCTCGCGAGATGGTCAGGCTTTACCAAGTCACCTCCGCCGCCGCCTATGCCGCCGAGTACCGCCGCCAAGCCGTCCACCTCGTCACTTGGTCCCAAGACCCTCTCATGTTCCACTTCGAGAGTGGACTCAAGCCCTCGGTCCAAGATGAACTCTCCCGCCGCTCCTTCGACAACCTCGAAGATCTTATGCAAGCGGCGATCGCCATCGACAACCGCCAGGAGGACCAACGTTCCCGCCGTCCCAACCACCGCTCCGCTCCTGCTCCTGCTCCTGCTCGTCCGGCTCCTCTCCCTTTCCGTCCGGCTCCTCGTCCCTTCGCTTCTGCTCCTCCTCCTCGCCCCGCTCAAGCCTTCAACGTTCCGCAGCCCATGGACCTCAGCCAGGCTTCCGCTCGCAGGCTGACCGCCGAGGACAAGGCCGCCCTCCGTGCTGCCAACCGCTGCTTTTATTGCAAGCAGGAAGGGCACATTGCCCTTCGCTGCCCCAATAAGACCTCCTCCCGCTTGGCTGCCATCGATGCTTCTTTGGCTGTCGTTGATGTGAATAAACTTGACGACCAGGAAAACTTCTCTGCCTAGAAAAGGTCGGAGGAGCTTTCCTAGGCGTCAATCATGTCATAAATCTTCCTCCTGTAAATGTCTCCACGGTAAATCACTCTTCTGCCTTTTGCCATCTTGCCCCCGTCACCATTGCCACCGTTTCCACCGCTCTTGCTTCTTCGTCTTCGCCTCCCGAGCCTGACATCCAACGTCAGCCCTCCCTCGCTGTGACTCTGCTGTGCGGTCCAGAGTCCATACGGGCAACCGCCATGATCGATACCGGCGCGGTTACTTCGTTTATGGACACTGGATTCGCCGCAACCCACGCTCTCCCCACCTTTGAAACTTCTTTCGTCATCACTCTTGCCGATGGCTCTTCGATGGAGTCTAGTCTTGGAGTTTGTGTTTCTATGATCACAGGCATCAGCCACTATGAACAAATCTCGTTCGCGCTGATTCCCTTGGCTTCATACCCGATCATCTTGGGTATGGATTGGATCAAGAAACACAAACCCTACTTTGACTGGCACCATGACTCTATTTTCTTGCCTTGCACCTCTATCCACAGTTTGGCCTCCCCGTTCTCTCCCGAGCCACAGTCCTCTAGGTCCAGCCCTGCCGAGTCCCCTGCTGAGGTCCCCGCCGAGCCTGCCGTGTCCCTGCCCGAGTCCAAGATTGTTCCTGCCGAGTCCCCAGCCAAGTCCCCAGCCGTGCCCGAGATCCTCCCTGCCTTGCCTCCTGCCGTGCCCAAGCCCAGTCCTGCCTTGCCTCCTGCCGTCCCCAAGACCAAGACCCAGTCCCTACCCAGCGTCAGCCTGATCGGCAGCATCCCCTTCCAGCACGCCGTCCAGAAGGAAGGCCTGGAAGTGTTCCTCTTGGATGCTGCCCGAGTCCTGTCCCTCTGCTCCGTCGACGCTGGAGCCAAGCCCAAGGCCGAGCCCTCTGTCCCCTCCAAGTACTCGTCCTTTGCCAAGGTGTTTTCCAAGTCCGAGGCCGACAAGCTCCCCCAGCACCGCCCTTACGACCACACGATCCCGTTGGTCGAAGGTGCGTCTCCGTCGTTTGGGCCCGTCTACAACCTCTCCAAGCCGGAGATGGACGCCCTCCACACCTACATCCAAGAGAACTTGTCCAAGGGTTTCATCCGCCGTTCCGAGTCCCCTGCCGGTGCCCCAGTCCTGTTCGTCAAGAAGAAGGATGGCTCCCTCCGTCTCTGCGTCGACTACCGGGCCCTGAACAAGATCACCGTGCCGAACCGCTGTCCCCTTCCTCTGATTGCCGAGACGTTCGACAACCTCGGTAAGGCCAAGATCTTCACCAAGCTCGACATGCGAGGCGCATACAACCTCTTGCGCATCGCTGAAGGTGAAGAGTGGAAGACGGCCTTCCGCTGCCGCTACGGCCATTTCGAGTACAACGTCATGCCGTTCGGCTTGACCAACGCTCCTGCCTCGTTCCAAGCCTTCGTCAACGATGTCCTCCGAGAATACCTTGACCAGTTCGTGGTCGTCTACCTGGACGACATCCTCATCTACTCCTCCGATCCTGCCGAGCACGAGGCTCATGTCAAGAAAGTCCTGACCAAGCTCCAAGACGCCGGACTCTCACTCAAGCTTGAAAAGTGTGAGTTCGACCAGTCCTCCGTCGCCTTCCTCGGGTTCATCATCTCGCCCGATGGAATCTCCATGGATCCCGACAAGGTCAAGGCCATCCAGGAGTGGGAGATCCCCCGATCTGCCCACGACATCCAAGTCTTCCTCGGCCTGGCGAACTTCTACCGCCGGTTCGTCAAGGACTACTCCAAGATCGCCACCCCGCTGACGGACCTCCTGAAGAAGGACATCAAGTTCTCCTGGTCTCCCTCGGCTCAAACGTCATTCCTGAAGCTTAAGGAATGCCTGAGCACCGGTCCTGTCCTCCGCCACTTCGACCCCGAGCGTCAGTGCGTCATCGAAGCCGACGCATCTGACTATGCTCTTGGGGCTGTTCTCAGTCAGCGCGACGACGAAGGCCTCCTCCACCCCGTCGCCTTCTACTCCCGGAAGCTGCTCGATGCAGAAATGAATTATCAAATCTATGATAAGGAACTTCTCGCCATCGTCGCAGCCTTCAAGCAATGGAGACACTACCTCGAGTTCTCCTCCCAAGCCACCGAGGTCGTCACCGACCACAAGAACCTCGAATACTTCCAGACCTCCCGCAACCTCAGCCGTCGCCAAGTCCGTTGGTCCGAGATCCTTGGCGACTACAACTTCGTCATCAGGTATCGACCCGGAACCCTCAACAATGCCGCCGACGCCCTCTCCCGCAAGGACAAGTTCCCTAAGGAGGGGGGTGACTCCCGTAGCTCCCCGAACACCCAGACCCTGCTGCCACCAAAACTCTTCGTTTCCGCCCTCCGAGCCGTTCCCGTTGCCCCCGAGTCCGAGGATATCGCCGCCCTCATCAAGTCAAGCCTCAAGAAGGACTCTACCTTTGGTCCGATCCTGTCCCAAGTCCTCAAGAACCCTGCCTCCTGTCCCGGCTACTCCGTCGACAACGACCTTCTGCTCTGTGAAGGTCTCGTCTGCGTCCCCGATGTCCCCGAGCTCAAGCGCAAGATTCTCGTCGAGTGCCACGACTCGCCGACTGCCGGCCACTTCGGCGTCGCCAAGACCTTTGAGCTCGTCTCCCGGACCTTCCACTGGCCGACCATGCGTCGCTACATCAAGGAGTATGTCTCCGGATGCGACACCTGCCAGCGGAACAAGCACTCCCGTCACAAGCCCTACGGACTCCTTGCCTCGCTCCCTGTTCCCGATCGCCCTTGGTCTTCTGTCTCCGTCGACTTCATCACCCAGCTTCCCGAGTCCTCTGGACACACAGCCATCTGTGTGTTTGTCGACCGATTCACCAAGATGGCCCACTTCGTCCCGTCAAGCAACGAGGCCAACGCCGAAGACACTGCTCGGATGTTTGTCGAGCACGTCTTCACCAAGCACGGTCTTCCAGACGATATCGTCTCAGACCGAGGATCTACCTTTGCCTCCAAGTTCTTCCAAGCCGTCCTGACCCGCCTCAAGATCAAGCACAAGATGTCGACTGCCTTCCATCCGCAGACCGACGGCCAGACCGAGCGGGTCAACGCCATCCTCGAGCAGTACCTCCGCTGCTTCATCAACTTCCAGCAAGACGACTGGGCCCAGCTTCTCCCTCACGCCGAGTTCACCTACAACAACACCTCTCAAGCAACCCTCGGCTGCTCCCCCTTCTTTGCCTACACCGGCTACCACCCTCGTTTTTCCGTCGCCCTTCCCCGCACCACCAAGAATGCCTCCGTCGCCGACGATCAAGCCCGAGCCATTCACTCCCTCCACGATGAACTCAAGTTCAACATCGCCCTTGCCCAGGACTCCCAAGCCAAGTTCTACGACCCCGGCCACTCCCCTTCCCCTCCGTTCAAGGTTGGAGACCGAGTCTGGCTCTCCGCCAAGAACATCAAGACCCAGCGACCCACGGCCAAGCTCGACCACACCAAGCTTGGGCCGTTCAAGATCGTCGCTCAAGTCGGTTCCCGCGCTTTCAAGTTGGACTTGCCCTCGTCCATGCGCATCCATCCGGTGTTCCACGTCTCCCTGCTCGAACCCGCCGCCGATGACAAGATCCCAGGTCGAATCATCCCGCCCCCTCCACCCATCCAAGTCGACGGCCACGACGAATGGGAAGTCGAACAGATCCTGGACTCCAGGCTGTTCCGAGGTAAGCTCCAGTATCTTGTGCACTGGCGTGGCTACACGGTGATGGACTGCACCTGGGAGCCCGCCAGCAATCTTGCACATTGTCCGGAGCCTGTCACTGCCTACCACTCCTCTCATCCCTCGAAGCCTGGCCCTCTCGGAGCTCGGGCCTTGAGAGGGGGGTAGTGTCATGAACACCCTCTGCCTTTGCCCTCTTCCTTCCTTTACCCTTGCCCTTTCCTTTCTGTTTGCCTGCCTTAGCGCTTTCCCTTCCTTCTGTTTGTTTGTTTCCCGCGCTGTGCTGCCTTGTTGTCTTCCCGCCAGCACGCGCGCTGTCTGTGTTCCGTTCCCGTTTCCTTGCTGTTGGTCATGGGTTACGCCCACAACGCCGCCTCGACGCCGCCTGACGCCTTGGCGCCGCCATGCCGCCGCCACTGACGCCCGCTGACTCACGGATCCCGAGTCACGGCCGCCACCTGCTTCGCTCGCTGCTTCGCCCTCCCCGCCGCTGCTTCGCTCCTGCCCCCTCGCTCTGCAGCGTCGATCCTTGGCGCTCGCATAAATAGCCCTCCGACCAGCCTCTGTCCTTTGCCTTCGTCTTGCCACTTTGTATTTTTAGTATCCTAAGCCTTGGATCTAGAATAAAACTTTGGCTTTACACTTGACACTCTGTGTCCCAGTCCAGTCCCCGCTCCTCTCCCTACGTTCGAGTCTTGTATTAGGACTCTTGCGCACTTCCCTGCTTGCCCCGTTGTCCAGTCTTGACACTCGGATCGTCGCATTCGGTGGCCTCGATGAACTTGTTCATTGCCAATTTAAAATCTTTATCGATTCCATGGCCGTGGTAGTAGCACTCGCCGAGCTGACAGAGAACGGTGCTGTTTTGAGGGTTCTTGGCGGCCAGCGCTTCAAAACGTCGCAAGGCCATAGGTAAATGGACCGTGGTTCCGATTCCAAGAAGAAGGCATTGACCCCAAATGAAATCGCTAAACCAATGGGTCCTGGAGCCGACTTGACACCATCCGAATAAATCGACTTGTGGTTGATTGCCTTGGCCTCGTGGTGGCTGGTTGGTGGTATTCTCCAGACGATAAGCATCGTCACAGTTGACCTCGGTCCCGAGTCCACAGACCAAGCACCAACGTTTCAAAAATACAGCGACGTCCTTGAACGAACCGACTGTGTTTGTCGAAGTTTCGGAATCGGCTAGTTGACCCCATAACTCGAATGCCCTTTCCGAATTTTGGGGTGTGCCGAATCCAAGAAGGTGAAGCCAGCCAAGTGCGAAAACAAAGCCATCGCGCTCGGTGGATTGGTCTTCACAATCATCGATTTTTTGAGCGATGAAGGTGAACACTTCATTCCAATCCGAAGCCTCCATTTCCAAGTCCATCGAAAGGACAAGAAAACGAGAGACACCATCGTCCTTGAGGGCTTCAATGGCTTCAGCCGGAGTCAACTGGTTTTGGGAATCTATTGCGGGCGGTACAAATATTAGTCACGAATCATTTACGAGTGGCAAATGGGCGTGTGGACATACCTGATGACTCCGAATGATCTTCAACGGGTTGTTCATTTTCGCCCGAAACGCTGACCGATGAGACGCTTGAATCCGATGGCGATGTCCGTTCGAACGATTCCAAGATACGAGTGAACTCTGGGATAAGTTCGGCGGCCTTGGGACGCTTGCTTGCTTTCTTCCGGAGGCAGCCTTCGAGAACCTCCTCGAGACCAGGAATGTTGACTTCCCGAATTTCAATAGTCGCCCCAGTTTTGTAAATGTCTTGAATATCCTTGAGTTCGACGATTTCTCGAGGCCAGACATTTTCGCAGTTGATCAGTATATCGCAGCATGTTATGCCAAACGAATATACGTCCGTGGATTTGTTGGGGCGGATCGGTCCGATAGCTCTTACTCGTTCAGGGGCCATATAGTAATAGGTACCATATGGCTGCTGACCCCTGTCGAGACTGAGCTCTTCATATCCGGTCTTGGTCCCATGGAGCTTGAACGAACATCCAAAGTCCGTGAGGAGGATCGACAAATCGGCCGACACCAAGGTATTGTTGGGCTTGACATCCACGTAGATGACGTTTTTGCTGTGGAGATATTCGAGGCCTTCTGCAATTTCCTTCATCCAGCGGACCTTGGTTGGCTTTGCTGTTTCTGGGTGCCCTTCGATATACCGTTCCAAATCGAGGTGGGGTTGAAAAGGGGAAATCATCGCAGGAGCGATGTCGTATCCGATCGATACGCCGATCAGCCGGAGGATCCGTTTGTGGCTGAGGAGCTCCCAGACACCGGCTTCCCATCCAAGTTCGACAATCGGGTCGTGGTCGGAACCTTGTGGCTTTCGAAGCATTTTGATGGCGACCTCCGTATTTATGACACCGTCGTTGAGCCGTCCGCTTCTGATCTCGGTGAAGTCCGACGTTTTGAGGAGGCCATCCTCCTCTCGGTTGATGGTCAAATGGTCGGCGTCGAAAAACTTGCATTTGAGCATCGACTTGAGTTGTCTGGCCTGAGTGCTGTGGCTTCGTGTACGTCGAGACATTTTGGCGGCGCTAGTTGGTAGCGGGATGGGTTCGTTTTTTTGAGGAAAAATGCTGGTGGGGGGTGATGGGGAGCGGGGAGCGGATGCCGAGGGCGGCCATGAAGAGACAGCGGACGTTCAGCGTGGCTTGTCGACTCAGGTGCCATGAAATTAGAAATGAATGAAATTCATGATTCCGCGTCATGGCCAGCCTCAGTGTGGCCATTTGCTGCGCGTCACCCAGAATCCAGTCATTGGAAAAATGTGTGTGTGTATATTGACAAAATATTCAATATTGCAAACACTGGTGGTATCGAGTGATACTACATGACGAGGCACTTCTTTTTCTTGCGAATGAAGTCGCTGGATATCTTGGAGGAGGGCTCTGGAGCTGGGGTAGGATGAGATTTCTCGCGCCTGGAAGGGATTTGCTCTTCGACAAGTGCGATGTTTCTCATGACCATTTGGATATGGGGGTGTTTGGGGTCACTGAATATATTGGTCCAAATCGCCAATGCCTCTTGGTACAAGGCAAGTGCATCGCCCAGGCGTCCTTGGTCACTTGCCACCAGGCCTATGTTGTTGAGTGTCGAGGCAACATCGGGATGTTCGCGGGTGCCATAGACCTTGGTGGTGGTCAGCATGGCTGGGACTGGTGAAGAGCAGAACGAAGGAGCAACCCAAACCAAGAGGGAATCACCATCCACCCATCCACTCACCCACCCGGGAATGCCCGAGCTGCTCCGGATTCGAGCGGTGGTCACCACGTGACCATGTGCCATGAAACGCTTTCCTCTGTCCGAGGTGGTCGTTCTCGCCTGCCCCCCAAGCCTTGCAGCCACCGAGAGCGCCCGCTTTCCCCGTCATCTCCCCGTCGTTCCATCCCTTCGCCACCGCTCATAAATGGCTTGTGAAGCGTCTACCTTTGACGATATCGTCGCTCGTGGTTGTCGAGTCGTCGACCCAAGTGATATCGTGTCCGTCGAACCACTTCAGAACTTCCTCATGATGAGGGACAACATTCAGGTTCGCTTGGCTTTCTTCGATCGTAAGATTGTTGTCGTCAAGAAATATCGCCGCCTTCCTGATGAGGATTCTGGAGAATATCCACTCCACTTCCTCTGGGACGTTGGTACTTGGTCCAGCCTCCACCACTTCAACATCCTCCCCCTTCTCGGCATCTCCCGTCTCGACGACGGGTTCTGGGTTGCCCTGAGTCCCTTCCAACCAAAAGGCAACCTCTCTACCTATATCCGAAAGAAACCCCCAGTCTCCATGGAAACCAAAGTTCTCTGGATGAAGGAGATAGCTACTGGCCTGCGCTATCTCCACGAAAAGCGAGTCGTCCATGGTGACTTGAAACCCGACCATATCCTGGTCGACTCTCGCCTCCACCTCCACCTCTGTGATTTTGCCTCTTCGCTCAGCTTCCCCCCCAATGTGAGCAGCGTCAAAGGGCTCCCGCTTCCAGCTGTGCATGGTCGATATGGCACTGCTTTCTATATGGCCCCCGAGCAAGTTCACGCCAATCATCCTGTCCAGCCCAACAGAAGCACAGACGTCTTTGCCTTTGCTGTCTGCGCCTGTGAAATCCTCGCAGACATGGGTAATGTCTGGGGCGAAGAATCCCCTGGTAAAGATGTCTATGAAGAGCGTCGCAATTTTTTCGCTCAAGGTAGGACTGCTACCATCCATCGAGACGCCCCGCCCTCCCTCGGGGCCATGTTGACCAAATGCCTCCAACATGAGCCCCAAAAGCGCCTCGCCATCAAGGACATCGTCAAGATGCTCGAAAGTCTCCACAAGAGGCTCAAGGCATCCGCTGCACAAAAAAAGCGGCTCGAACGCAAGGCCATGGATACTCAGCGTGGTGTCTTCAAGCCCCTCACCCAAGCAGTCCAAAACGATGGTGATGCTGATTTGTTGGCATTGTTCGATGGTATTTCAGCTGGCAGTAGCAGTGACGACGACGCTTGAATGCAGTTTTTGTTCAATATACCCCTCAGTCCATGCAGTAGCCAGTGCCCTTGGTCCCACACATTTGATTTTTTCTGTGTGCATCCACCAGCAACGATGAGTTTCCACAGGCGATATAGCAACGACCCCGCCACCACAACCACGTCCAGCGACGACATCAACGACAGTGTCGATATTGGCATGGACTCTTCCAGCGGCGACAGTAGCTTCAGTACCAGCTATGATGAACCAATGAAATGGGAAGTCGCTCCTCTCCCCCCTCTGCGAAAGCGATCTTCGTCGATCGTGGAACAGCCCGGGTTCAAGCGGTCCAGGAACAGCGAACCTCAGCCAGAGACCAACGACGAGTCAGAGCAGTGGATGGACCGGGGGTATCCAGTGGTCGAAGAAGATACCACAATGGCCATGTATTATCCCATCAAGAAGGCCAGTACGAGCAGCGAACGCCATATGCCTTGGGAATTCGATGACATCCCAGGCCCGAGGAAGCGACCCGGTTTTGAGGAGCCACCTATCTCCAAGCGACCCCGCCGAACTGGTGAATTTGCTGGATATGTCAACCAGCGCAAGCGAGGCAGGGACGAGTACGACAATCTCCAGCGACCCAGCAAGCGACACCAGCAGACTGGGGATTTCATCGAGTTTGTGGGTCGAAGCAAGCGCGCTGCTGACGACATCGACGATTTTCCCCGCCCAACCAAGCGGAGTGCTTCTCGATTCTCAATCTTCTCTGAGTAAGCTGTCTCCCCGCCCCCCCATGACCCGGCTGACACAATCTCCGCCCTGCCAGATGACCCCCCCATTCTTCCGACACACCGCTCACGTCCAGTTCCCGATGCTGGCTTCGCATCGTCCTCAAAACCAGCCCGATTTCCTGCCGCCGTGAAGCATCGCCTCTCTCTGCAATCGATCGAACATGCCTCAAGACGACTTTATCTCCCTGTACTGGCCTCAACTACCCGCCGAGCTTCAGTGTCTGATCCTCGCCTACGTCTCCAGTGATCAGTTCACTGTAGATGCTCTTCTGCGCTCTGGATTCATGTTCAAATGCGGTGCTCCCCAGCGCCGCGAGCTGATCGTTGGCAGCATCAAGATGATCAGTGCAATCGAGCATCCCGGTGATCTCTTGGATTCCGCCGATGATACTGGCAACGAAGACGATCAAGAAGAAACGTTCAAACCGGACTGGACAGGGGACTACGATCGCCTCGAGCGAGATGACTACCCCCATTGTGCCACTCGAGCTGCTCTGATCAGCGCCCGGATCAACTACTACAAACGTTACTACTCGCGATACAGCCGTTATCGAACCAAGAAGGGTCGCTCGTCCTGTGTACCCCTCGAGCAGTGGTTCCCTACCAAGTGGATCTACCCCAAGCACGATGTATTCAGCGCCGTGACTACTCGGGTCTTTCGTATCTACCGACACCTCTTTGCCGAGTATTCGCATGCTCGCGATGTTGACAAGCTCCATGCTCTCCAGCGCAGCGTTGCATACTTCGAGGGTCGTCGATACAAGTATGGGGAAGGTGGTTATGGCCGAGACTCACGGCTCGCCATCGCTTCATTCAAGAAGGGTGCGCATTTCGGAAGCGCCTTCTGCAAGTACGAGCTGATCAAGTATCAAGCCGAGTACGATCAGAGTGCCATTCCCAAAGAGCTCGACCTCTTCTTCCGCCAACTACTGGCCGACCCAGATATGACTATTCAACATGAAATCGTGCCTGACGGGATACTCCAGGAATATGCGCTTATCCCCGCAGTCGCTTGCCAGCTTGCCAAATACCACTTCACAAACCGAACATCGATCGTCAACCTGGCTCGCTATACACTGAGTCTCTTCTACGATTTGAACCCGGTGCCTGGACCCGAGCACGACTGGTACATCTGTCGCACCGAGGGGCATTCCCCAAATGTGTGGTACTACGACACCCTCCGCTTCTATCTGCTGATCCTCCGTGTCTACGGAATTGTCGATCTGTGCGAGCCATTTGAGAAGATCGAGGACCGAGGACCCCGAACCCAGGGCTGGATGTCGTTTCCTGGACTTTCTGCTGACACCTGGAGGGATATCAGTATTGCCTTCTTCCGCCAGGTCTTTCTGGATATGGAGGACGAGGCATACATCCCCTTTGTGGTTGGTTGGCTGGGAGACTGGAGTACCAGCCCGCTCCAGTATTGCCGAGAGAATGCCTATCTGTTCACCGACCTCAGTACCCACCTCTACACGAACCCTCTTCAAGACCTGCAGTACGTCATCGACAACGAGTTTGAAGCGATCGTCAGCTCGGATGAAATGGCGGCTCATCCGATCGAGGCCATGTTCATGGCTGGGCTCTATGCCATATACCACAATATCCAAACGATGAACCACGATCTCATGATCGAATTTAAAGATGGTGTCATCGGTGGCTGTCGCAAGGCCATGCAATACTTTGACTACTGTGTGCGGGCTCTCCAACGCCAGAGCAAGTTCAGCGATCGCCACCGGCTCCTCCTTGAGGGAGCCTACTTCCTCAAGGGTGTGAGTATGGCTATCGCAGAAATGAATGGAAGCACGCAAGACCAGCAGCATGCAGTCAGTTGCCTGGTCCAATCCTACGATCGATCAACGAACAAGACCCGAAGCCCCGCTGCGGTCTGCATTGCCTTTGCATATCTTGGCGGCTATGGAGTCGAGCGTGATGTCTACAGCGCCAGGTACTGGTTCGAGACGCAGGATGCCCAGTTCCTCAAGTCGCTGAAGATATCCGATAATATCTGGTGCAGTTGGGCACTCAAGCCAGCGGACCAGGTCGCCATGAAATCGATCAGCTGGATCAAAACTCATATGGGTGTGCGTCATGATGTGTCTGGGTTGCTGCATGACTTGGAACTCCCAGCTGGAAACGATGGTGGTGTGTAGGGGGTGGTTGACTCGTGAATACAGTGGCAGCTCCTTCCTCCTTGCTTGCACCAGTACACCCTGTCTGCCAGGCCAGTCTGGGAGACACCCTGTCTGACGAAATCGCCGCCCAACCCCGTCATGTTCCGCTCCCTCCGCCATCGAGCGGGTCGCTTATATTGACCGTCTCGCTGCCCCTGCCATCCACACCCCTGTTCCAAAATGTCCATTGCCAAGATTGCCCGTGCCGCCGACGCCATTGCCCGCCTATCTGGGCAAGCCCCCGTCGATCACCCATTGCAGAGCGCCTTCAAGTCTGCCATCGATCTCTTCCATGTGCTGAAGGACATGTATATCAACCACCGTGGTTGGGAATTCATGGTCAGCAGGACTGCTTACCTACTCACTGTGCTGAGCAAGCATGATGCCGATGATCTCGAGTCCATGCAAATCGGGGACGCTCTCTCTGCCCTGTACGATACGATCACCCACACGATCGCATTCGAGCGACCCTTCGATTCCGCTGACGTCTATGGCCAGATCAAAGAATTTTGCCACAATCAAGAGGAACAATGGACGATCTTTGCCCAGCACCGCCGCCCTGGTGGTCCCGATCTCGTCCCCTTGAACGACACTGGCCTGGAGATGTGTCTTGCGTGTGATCAAACCATCGATCGCACCATCGACATTGCTCGCATCGTCACTGAGAAGCGCAAAGAGCAGCCAGAGGAAGCAAGTGAGCCCGATGCGAAGAGGTGCAAAGCATCCACCGCCGACGAGGAAGGTGAAACCGAGCCTGTTCCGCCCCCCACGGACTCGGCCATCAATGACGTCGATCCCCCGGGTCCTAGCATACCGGCTGAGAAGTCTGAGGAACCCGACGTGTCCGAGGAACCGGGCATGTCCGAGAAGCTCATCGATGACCCCGAAGACGACAGCCAGAGCGACGTGACTGAAGATTTGGATATCGCCCCTTATGAAGGACCAGGCGCGACTGCTGAACCCACGACCCCGGCAAACAACGAGCGCGAAGACGGTGAACTGACCCCCGTCCTCGACGCACCGGTTGCTCCTCCCTCGCTCAGCGAAGCTTGCATCAAAGCGGAGCCACCCGTGCCAGAAAATGAACGATCTCCTTCCCCGGCTTCATCGGATAGCGTTCCGTCCGAGCCCGACACACCAGACTCCATACTCGACGAGTGTATGGAGTTCATCATGGAGAACTTCAAGCAAATTCCTCTTGATGACCATGAGTGGGATCGCACAGTCGACGATGTCCTCAAGCTTGTCTCCACGGGGTCGTTCAGGGCAACGTTTTTGCTTGGCTGGATCCGATATGTTGGTATCGGAAACAAACAAGATCGACCCCTTGCCTTCACGACGTGGGTTGGGCTACTCGCTCCACCCATCAACTCGCCCTGGAGGACGCAGGAGCTCAGTCCCAGTACCAGAAAATGGATATCCTTTTTGATCCGCTGGGGCAAGACTGCTGAATGCTGCCCCGAGACCATTGGCCAGTGTGTCCCTGTCGACAAACACGATGGGATCCTTGAAAACCATCACAAGTTTTCAAGGATGTACTTTGAGTGCATGAACCTCGCGTCAGACGACGACGTCCTTTGCAAATTCATCACAGCGCACTGCTACAACGAAGGATTTGGAACAGCACCATCGAAGCGACAGGCCCAATCTCTCTGGGTCTCACTGAAGCGCAACCAAACCAGTGCTGGGATGTGTTGTGTTGGTGCGTGTTTCGAAATTGGCGCGTTCACTCAGAAAAACGAAGAGCAAGCCATCAACTTCTATCGCCAAGCCATCGCTATGGGATCGAAAATGGCAGAATTCTGTCTTGGAGCGTGTCTACTTTCAAACCCAACGAGGGATGTTGCTTTGCTCGACGAAGGCATGAGGCTGCTGCAAAGCGCCTCTGTATCCGGGTCGATCATTGCGACGATGCGTCTGGCTCTACATTTCGAACGAGGTCAATATGTGGCGAGGAGCCACGCCAACGCAAGCCAGTTCTACCACAGAGCTGCTGAATTCGGGAGTGTCGAGGCTCAGTGGCGATTTGGCTCTGCCTACACGACAGCGAATACCGACAAGGATCGAGCCTACTCTATCGAAATGCTGATCAAAGCAGCAGATCAGGGTCATATTGACTCCATGGCCTTTCTTGGGCAGATCTACTACACGCAATCGCGAATCCGAGACTACTTCAAGGCCATCAAGTATCTGAGAATGGCTGCACATGCTGGACACCCAGCGGCGCAATGCTACCTCAGCCTCTGCTACCTGCGAGGACATGGTACTGCACAGTCGCAGAGCCTTCACACGCAATGGCTTCAATGTGCCATTGCCACCAACCCAAGTGAAAAGGACAAGTACCTCGCCCTCATTCAATCCCCATGATATGACTGCTCACTCCATGTCACCCCAGCATTCCAAACCCGATGCAATCTTTCCTTTGTTTCTGTGCTTCGAAGCCATCCGTTTGTGCTCTTTTTCGACTTCGTCACTATGGCCGCTGTCATCCAATTCTTCCGATGATGGTGCCGACGAAGACGACGAATCGTTCCAGTTTTCCTGTTCATTTTGTGGTTCGCTGGACTCACTTTCAGAGTCCAGAGCGAGAACCGGCTTGCAATAAAGTCTCTGGATTGCTGCTTGTACATCCTCGTGCACACCCTCGCTCGTGACAGTGACGATATGTCCCTCGAACGACTTTTCTATTCCATCGATAGACCAGAGACGTGTGCATCCGGTGATGTCGAGCTGGTTCAGCTGAGACAGGGTGTGTGGGAGACCGACAAAGTCGCGGATGGCAGTGTGTGCAAGCGAAAGACGCTCGAGGGCTGGGCAGCGAGGGAAGAATAGGAGGGACTGTAGCGACGTGCAGTTGTTCAGAGTAATGCATTCGAGTAGAGGCAGATCCTTTGGCAGGCCAGCGAGTGACTCGAGACTTCTGCATGCTGACAGATCCAGAGTCTTCAGCTCGGGGAGTGAGTGAGGCAGGCCATCTAGTGTACGCAGCGATAAGCAATCGCGCATGATCAGATGCTCGAGGACGGGTACGCTTGTGGGGAAGCCATCCATGGTTGAGATACTGGTTCCCGATAGATCGAGGGACACGAGCACATGAAACTCGCGGGGCATGCTGTGCAGGATATCCAGATCGCGAATATTGGACATGTCCAGCTCTGTGACAAAGGCGATGGCATCCATGCAGGGCACCGAGTGGATAGTAGTCGGTCGCTGCCTGGTTGATGCACTCTGCCAGGATCTCCATCTCCTCGGCAAATGTCATTTCATTCACATCACCCTCGTCGGTGAGCTCGGAGCCATCACAAGACTCGATATCAGCGTCGGTTTTGTCAGGATCGAGCTGTGCCTTTGACTCTGGAACCGACTCTAAGTTAGTAGATGGACCTGGTGCGGAGTCTTGGTTGAGTGGTTTATTAAGGAATTTCGCGAAAAAATCAAACATGGCAGCGAAGAATGCGGACGGGGTAACTACAATAGGGCAACAAATGATTTCAATGGGATTCGCTGCGCGAGAGGATGGTTCTCATATCGCCGAGATCATGGAGCCTGGATCTCACACTGAACAATGTGTGATGGAGAGAGTCCTCGAGATCGGTAGGGATGCTTCCGAGACCATAGATGATTTCAAGGGCGTTGAGAATCATCTCCTGTGCCTCAACGTATTGCTTGGATCTGAGACACTCCTCGCCCCTGGATGCCATGTACTGCGCAATATACAGGCTCGATTCGTCGCTAGGTTGCTCCTCGGGTCTGTCGTTGCCGGGTTCGTCGTCGTCGCTGTAGTCGACAAGATCGTCGTCTTCATCGATGTAGAACTTTGCAGCTGCTGTCGTGACCGTCTCGGTATCGCTGTCGGGCAAATCCAGCGTGTGTGTTTCGAGTGCCTTGCATCGAATCTGTGCTGGAGAGTGATCGACGAGGAACTCGCACAGCGCCAAGACAGTGGCGAGCCACCAGATTGTCCTCAAAGACGATGTGGTTCTTCTGAAGCTTGTTGATCCACTTGCCCATGCCGACGATGTCCTCCTGGACGGCCCGGATGCATGCGATGATGCAGCATTGGTAGAGGACTTCGAAGGCTTCACCCCTGGCTTCGTGCTGGCCTGCCAAGCGAAAGGACTCACGGGCGAGGTCATCGAGGGACTTGTCGAGGATCGCAGGTGCGAGGAGACGAATGATCGAGTCGATATGGAAGCGTTCGAGTGTTGCAGCGGTGGTCATGGTTGGTTGAAGGACACAGGAGAGATGAAAGCTGAAAGAGCAGGGCTGCGCGGCCAGGATGGAAAAAATGATCTGGGCCTCTTGTAGGACACGCCGACCATGAGCAACTCCCCTGTACAGCGACTGCTCACTCTACCCATCGACGGACTCCGCCCCACGCAGATCACGGTGGGGTTCAAGGATGTTGAACTGAAGCGCCTGACCATCCGCTCACTGATTGTGAAAGCGGACAGGCTCTACAACTACCTCAATGCCAAACGGGTCAGTGTCGTCATTGGCCCTGGCAAAATACCCTATATTGTCGATGGCCATGCACTTGTGCGTGCGCTCTATGAGACCAGGCTCCAAGCGGCACATTGTGTGGTGCTGGAAGACTACAGCACAGTAGCAACACAGGATGCCTTTTGGGAGAAGATGTACAGCCGTCGCTGGGTGTTTCCCTTCGACTCCGATGGCCATGGACCGCTGCCATTCAGCGCGATTCCGCTGCATGTCAAGGACATGACGGACGATCCCTTCAAGAGCCTCGCCTCCGCCGTGCAGCGGTCGGGTGGTTTTTTGCCTCCTTCCCAGCCGCAGGACGAATGGGAGTGGGTGCAATATCTCCGCAGCAGGGTGCATGGGGATCCGAACGCCAACATGCCCGGGGCGCTTGTGGATGCCTCCCATGCTGCCCACATGATCGAGGCAGCGGCCCTGCCAGGGTTCATTCCGCCAGGATGGTGATTTTTTTCTCCTTTCCAATGGACAGAACAACACACACAAGCAATGGAAACCATCACGATCATCCTCATCACTGCGATCATCTTTATCCTCTTGACTGGTGGCGGGCTCGGGTATCTCTTCTACACCAACAAGACCACGTTCTGTGGTGCATCGGCCGCCGGAGCCAGCGCAGTCCGGGTGAAACCGCCCACTGCCAGTCCGACCCCCGCGGCCGCCGTCGCCGCTGCCCAGCCCAGTGCTGTCGCACCACAGCCGGCGGTCGTGGATCCGTCTGCCACTGCGGCCGTGCCAGCGCCAGCCCCTGTCCCCAGCTCCTCTTGAGCACACATTTTTTGTCCTCCAAACAAGAGCAGCATGTCCCGCAATACAACACAGTCTATATCCTTCCACAAGCTTTTCTGGGCACTTCCCCAGGAGGTGCAGGAGCGCATCTTTGCTTGGATGTTTGTGCTGGACATCCCAGCCATCTGCGACGACCTCAGTCAGCCAGCCACGAGACTCGGCTGTGGACTCACGAAGCGCCTCGAGAAGAGCGGCCTCTTGGATCCCGAGGTCAATCGCCATCTCGCGCGATTCGCGGACCCCCTGTGGCTCAAAAAGTGTGTGCTGCTGGAGACGCTTCGCCATTTCCGCATGTGCGAGACGCTGTTCGCCAAGCGCATGATGCACAAGTGCCTGAGCACATTTGCCAGCGAAAGCGTCATTGAGAAATATGAGCAGGATAGCTACATCAACACCATCTTGCTGAACAGCTTCCAGCTGACCATGGAGGGTATGCTCATCCCCCATGTGGCAGACTTTCAGCATCGCGCATCGTCGTTTCTCTCCTCGCCGGGAATCCAGGGGCTCGGAGATGACTATGCTGCCCGCCTGGCTTGCCACGTTCAAGCGATGGATCACCAGGCGCGCACGAGTCTGGCAGCCATGCTGAAGGGTGCCTTGCGATTCGCGGTCAAGTCGTACTGTGCGAAACGATACGACACCAATGAGGAGCAGCGAGCGAACGAGGACGTGATGCTTGCCATGCTGGACGCTGCCCAGCGCCATCATAAATTCCGGGTGCTGATTGGGGAGCCCTGAGTGCCAGAGATCTCGCCATGACTTCCCTGCCAGGAGACGACGCAATCGAAACCCCACTCACTGGGAGCATTTTCACGCTCAGGACTTTCAACCTGAGCAAGTTGCGATTCACATCCACCCCAGACATGTCGTCAGACGAGTTCGAGACCATCACTGAGCTCGACCTGAGCCACAATGCCATCCGAGTCCTGCAAGCCTGTCTGCTTCCTGTGAATCTGCAAGTGCTCGACCTCTCGCACAACCAAATCACCAAGATTCCAAGCAACCTGTCCACCAGTCTACCCCATCTGGTCGAGTTGAATCTCTTTGCCAACAGTATCACCCACATTCCTGCGAGTCTGGGTGAATGCAAGGAACTCAAGCGCCTCGATCTTGGAGGAAATCATGTCGTTGATTTTTCGCACCTGGCAGGCATGAGGGGGCTCGCATATCTGCGAGTCACCCTGATTCCTGGGTACGCTGGGTTCGAATCGCACATCACCCAGCGCCTGGGGCACGAGGGAATGGAGCTGAGTTTGTCTGTGTGCACAAAAACAGCATTCAGCACAAGCTGCTCTTGTCGAATATAGCATTACCGTCTGAATCCAGCGTTGACGGTGCGATTGTGTATGTCAGTGGGACGGTGGGGAATGGTTTGGTGGGATCATTGAGGACGATGGGTGCCTTGGAAGGATCAAAAACACTGCCGCTGGCACTGGGTGCACCGGCCGCATAAGGGGTATTAGACCACCACTGTGTGTTTTTGAAGACGGTGGATGCATCCGGGAGCTGCTTCTTTGGCGCATATGAGACATTGCTGTAATCCAGAGAGACATAGCCACCGCTGGGTGCACCCGAACCCGAACCCGAACTGGATCCAGGTGCTCCAGAGCCAGGGCCAGAGCCGACGCGGTTTGTGCCAAAGGGAAGAGTGTTCGCACCCATGTAACCATAGCCACCGCTGGTGTCTGGATTGTATTTAGATGAGCTGTAGACCCGAGTGTCCGAGGACATGAGCGAGGTGGAGATGCCAGGGCTGCGGGATACGGATGCCTGAGGGTTCCCGGCAATGATTGGCACCTGCGTGACACGATCGCACGAATTGTGCAGCCAGAGTGCCTCGGGAATGATTTGGGTCACTCGGGCATCGGGGACATGCATGTGCTCGGGCATGGTATTGTTGTCGAGAAGCGGGCTGCACCATTTGCGGTCGGGAAGGAAGGACCCGTAGCGCAACGAAGAGTCAATGTTGATGCGATTGGGTGGAGTGAGGGACATGAGGTGTATTGATACCAATGGGTGTAGAAAAAAACAAACAGACGCAATCGCAGTCGGTGCTTGATCCCACACACTCATTCACTCGTCCTGGATGTTTCGATTGATGATGGCGTTGCGCATCTTTGTGTAGACCTTCTGGGCATAGGCACGGAACTCTGGTTCGACCTTTGGAGCGGCCTTGTCGATGCCCAGACCCTGGAGAATGCACCACAGTAGGATCTCGTTGACATTGCGGATTTCTGCCTTCTTCTGCATGGCCAGTTCATTGTTGCCCAGGACGATCGTATTGGTGCCGGTGAGTGCTGCAGCGGCATCTACCACAGCGGTCCTGGTCTTGGTGGTCTTGCGCTTCTTCTTCGGAGGCGGTGTGGTTTCCCCGGGCGCTGTCTCGGGTATGGCGATGGACTCGATGATACCGAGCTTGGAGTTCCACTTGATATCGGCCGTATCCAGGCAGGAACGATCGGTGTGTGGCGCAGGGATGACGCCCTGGTAGAAGGCGGATATGCGCTCGAGTTTCTGTGTCAGCGAGAGCTGTGTCCAGCGCTTGAAATAGCGGCCCTGGTGCTGATTCAAGCAGAATCCCCCGGCCTCGAGTTTTTCGAGCTCTATCTCGCATCCCTTCTGTATCGACATGACGTGGTTCCTCTCCTGCAAAATGCGATACTGCTGGTCGAGCAACGCGTCAAGCATCTCCTTCATATGCGCGTCTGGCTCGATGCCAGAGGACGGAACAATGATGGAGCGGACGCCAAGGAGTGTGGTGACATCAAGGCCAGTGAATTCATGGACGACCCCAAAGGTGCGTATGAGCTCGTCTTTCTTTGCTCGATAGTGCTTGCCGCGCTTGTGCTTGGAGACCATGTCCTCGATCATTTCCATCGACAATTGACAGGTCTCGCTCAACAGGGAATCCATCTTTTGGTTGAACACGGTCAGCAAGCTCTTGTGGTCGCGCTCGATGGACCGAAGGTGTGTCTGGTTCACATAGCGGTCAAAGCCGTCGCGATACTGGGATAACTCGAGCCATCTCTGGAGTGTATCGGTGCCCTGGTAGGCAGGGTCGAGCAGAGGGCAGACACCATGTGCCTGGACGATTTCGGGGAGAAGCAGAAGCCAGCGACACACGGGGAACGACATGCTGAATCCAGAGACTGGAAGGGTAGTGTATACCCATGCTCTAGAAAAATGTCCTTACTGCGTTTTTTTCGCAGCCTCTCTCCAGTCTACCGCATCAATGACCGACGAAGACACTCTGTTTGAGCACGACACCACTGCCGACGAGACCATCGTGCCAGATTTCGCCATATGCTCGAGCTGTGCCCCGACATCCAATGGTGACCAATATAGCTGCTATTCGGACGAGCAGCTCCAATTGCTTCTACGAATCTTCAACGAAGGACATGACCGCTTTCGAACGCGCTCCGATGCGATCGCCAAGCTGCAAGAAACCTTTCCCGACAAGGATCAACGATATTGGCTCCGGCGCGCACTGCAACTCTATCCGCAACTTGTGCTCGCGCAGGAAGAAAAGCGAATGCTCCGCAAGATGCAAAAGACCGTCTTTCGTCCTGCACCGCCCAAGAGCTGGCTCTGGACGATGCACATAGACAACGTATTGAAGCAGTACGCCGAGTTGGGAAATTTCAAGTATTGGGGGGCACTGCCATGTGACTGGTTTGCGCTTGGGTTGCTGAAATTCAACCCCGACCCCACCCGCAAGAATGCGATTGTGTTCAACACCGACCCGACAGACAAGCCAGGTGAGCACTGGGTTGCCCTCGTGATCCAGTATAGCAAGCGAAAGCAGCTGTGGTACGGTGAGTTTTTCGATTCGACGGGAAAGCTCCCCAGCCAGTATCCAAAATACCGGCGCCATCGCTTCATACAGGAGTTCATCGATCAACACTGTGGTATATGTCGATACAACACCACCGCTCATCAATCTGGTGACAGTGAGTGTGGCGTCTATGCAATCTATTTTGTCCTGCAGGTCTGCTTGATGGGGGCGTCTCTGAATGAAATCAACCATAAGATCATATACGACGACGATATATCCACCTTCCGCGAGCTTTTCTTTGACAACATCAACGACGTTGGCAGAAAATTTTGAGCAACCAAAGGCAGTACAACCTGTGAAACAATGAGACTCACTGTACGAAAGAACACCGGATCCACCAACAAGAAGAGCAAGACCAAGCAGCAGCGCCGCAAGACACAGGTCTCCAAGACCCGAAAAGGCGGCAGTACACACTCCCATGTGCGTAAAACCAGAACGCGACCATCGAAAGGGTCTTTGAGTAGTAAGAAAGGGCGACCAGTGTCCGGAAAGAAAAGATTGATGTCACAGCTTCGCGGGGGTGTGTCAAGTGGCCATGGTAAGCCGTCCGATACTCTGGCATCGAAGACCAGGGTGGGTACAAGTTGTTCGATGGTTGCCAAGAGGTGTTCGTGGCCGCGCAAGAGTCAACCCGGTGTGGCCATTGGGCGCAAATCTCTGTCGGAGTGGTACGGGCAGTATGCTGGCTGTCTCCTCGACAGTGTTGGAGAAAAACTCTAAAGGAAAAAATACTATATATCTGTAGAACTCGCGTGGGTCCGACAACGAAACACGCATTCACGATGCCAGAGGTCAAGCTTGAAACCGCCCAGTCCTGCCCGATCTGTATGAGGGATGTCACGTCCGTCAACCAATT